TTTGATGAGCTCGCGAGAATTCTTGACTCGTGGTCTTAAGTGTGAAATATTCGACCTTTAAACAATGGTACAAGGTATTTGGGGTGACAGTTCTTACAAACCTTGTAAATATGACCTTTAAAAACATAACATGAATTAGATAATATTTGAAAATTATGACTATTATGACCTTTTGAAGACTCAGATTATTTTGTGTGTCTTATTTCCGCGAGATGCCATTTGTTTGTCCGAGAGAATTTTGCTTCAAGTTTATGATTTGATGTTAAAAGGCACTGTTTTTGATTGTGAGGGACTGGTTGCTGGGAAATCACCAATTAAACAAGACTACAAATAATCCAATCCAAAGAGACATAACCAATTAAACAAGACTACAAATAATTAAATCTTAAAGAGACATAACCAATTAAACAAGACTATAAATAATTAAATCTTAAAGGGAAATAATCAATTAAACAAGACAACAAATAATTAAATCTTAAAGGGAAATAATCAATTAAACCAGACAACGAATAATTAAATCTTAAAGGGAAATAACCAATTAAACAAGACTACAAATAATTAAATCTTAAAAGGAAATAATCAATTAAACAAGACTACAAATAATTCAATCTTAAAGGGAAATAATCAATTAAAGAAGACAACAAATAATTAAATCTTAAAGGGAAATAATCAGTTAAACAAGCCAACAAATAATTCAATCTTAAAGGGAAATAATCAATTAAACAAGACAACAAATAATTCAATCTTAAAGGGAAATAATCAATTAAAGAAGACAGCAAATAATCAAATCTTACAGGGAAATAATCAGTTAAACAAGCCAACAAATAATTCAATCTTAAAGGGAAATAATCAATTAAACAAGACAACAAATAATTAAATCTTAAAGGGAAATAATCAATTAAACAAGGCAACAAATAATTCAATCTTAAAGGGAAATAATCAATTAAACAAGGCAACAAATAATTCAATCTTAAAGGGAAATAATCAATTAAACAAGACTACAAATAATTCAATCTTAAAGGGAAATAATCAATTAAACAAGACAACAAATAATTAAATCTTAAAGGGAAATAATCAATTAAACCAGACAACGAATAATTAAATCTTAAAGGGAAATAACCAATTAAACAAGACTACAAATAATTAAATCTTAAAAGGAAATAATCAATTAAACAAGACTACAAATAATTCAATCTTAAAGGGAAATAATCAATTAAACAAGACAACAAATAATTAAATCTTAAAGGGAAATAATCAGTTAAACAAGACAACAAATAATTCAATCTTAAAGGGAAATAATCAATTAAACAAGACAACAAATAATTCAATCTTAAAGGGAAATAATCAATTAAAGAAGACAGCAAATAATCCAATCTTACAGGGAAATAATCAGTTAAACAAGACAACAAATAATTCAATCTTAAAGGGAAATAATCAATTAAACAAGACTACAAATAATTCAATCTT